TTTTTTAAAATAGATGGTTAATTGTGATGTCTAAAAATATCATTTTATAAAAATATTTTATTTTATTAAGTAATAAAAATCAGTTATTTGATTCATTATTAACTACTCTTAACAATAAAATCAAATAGAATCAGTATTTTTTTAACATAATTTTGAAAATCTTAATAAAAGAATTGGTGGCTATAACCACACCCCTTCAATCTATTTCTCTATTTCTCTTTTGTTGGATAGGATAAGGTGTCTTGGATCAATTTATGTGTATCTTGAGTTCAATCCCTTCATGAACAATATGTTTAGTCTGTGCAATACTAATCATATATTCAAAAACTAAAAATTTCACTATGATTTCCCTCCCTGTGACGTAGGGACTCAAATCTTAACTAATATGATAGGAATTAATTAACATATTAATACACTTATTTAGGAGAAAAAGCATTTCTAGGGACATTTAGAGGTTAAGAGCTTGAGGTATTATGTTAAATATTTTAATTTTGAATTTTGAGGCAGGTGAGAATTGGATTGAAAAGGAGAAGATTTTTCCTTCTATATATGTATGAAAAGCACATACGCCCATGCTTATATTAAGCATATAAAAAAGTAGTATTAGATGGGGAGTTGGCCCTTAATATTATGTGTTTTTCCTATCTAATAATTCTTATTTTGTAATCTAATACAATCTAAACTACAAACAGTAAACTCATTAATGTTTATTAACCTTTCTTACGTGAAACATGGGAATTATATTATACAATGAAGCCATGTGCATCCAATTTAAGCCGTATATAATGATAAGTTCCACAAATGTTACCTTTCATCTTTTTCTAATGTTTATTATTTGTGAAGCTTGGGACATACCTTTGCTAATTGCTAATGCACGTTGGTATGAACACTCAGGAAGACCTCCAAACGAAGAAAGGCCGCATGTTGGGTTGCATGTGGGAGGACATATAGGTATAAGCTTTTTTGAATGAAACAATCACTAGGAATAAGACCTACTTATATTAGTTATAACAAAAAGTAAAAAATTAAGCAAGAAGTAATCCAATATGGATTCCCTCATAACATTCCTAAAATTTTGATATCAAAAGATAAAATTCATAATTATATTAGTTTTTTGTGCAGTGATCTATTAGTATTATGGGTCACTTCTTCAGTTAAAAATAGACTATTTGCAATAAAAGTAATTCAAACAAAAGTAGATTATTGGTAGAATGTCCAAATCCACCCCTCAAAGTTAGGGA